GATCTGCGATTAACAAGGGATGGATTCGTTTCTAGTTTTCAGTCCAGAAGAAATCCCTTAACATGCAGTATAAATTCACAAACCTGGGAATGTATAAAGGAAACAAGAGCGGACTGACAGAGATTAATTTATCTTACAGTTATGAACTGTTGGCTTGGTAAATGCACAAACTTATTTCAATGAATGCAGCTAACGGTGTGGAAGAAATTGCCTTCCAGTTGTTCATTAGCAGGGCTCTTTTAACAACAGCGATGTTACAACATCAGTCCACCCTAAACAGCTGCCTCCTGTGGTCTGGGGAAGCACCAAAGCTTGAACCTTATAGCTCATCTATGTTCGCTGCTGTCCTGAGCAAGGACATTCTCAAAGTGTTGGCTCACTTATGTTGCAGATCACAATCGACTGGAGAAAAAGTGGATGATGTGCCAGAAGGACATGGGAGACAGAATGGGACCCAGTAACAACTCAGATTGCACTTTTTGTCAAGCCTATATTCTCTGCTACTTTTTAGGACACTCTTCAACCACCAGTGCAACCATATCATCTAATCTAGATCTTCAGATTAATTTTTGGGCTGTCATCAAGTGGTTTGTATATGGTGCAAAGACATGTGAAACAGGAGGAAGAGGAGTTACAAGATCCCATCTCAAGGGGAACTTGCTGAATACCCTTTTGACCTGCAGTTCTCCCAGAAGGTGCTCGGCTCTTGGTGGCCGCCAGACCTGTCCGTCTCTGCACTGACTTTATATCCTGGAAGGCTGTAGGTGAGGCAGGGAATGCTTCAGGAGCCTACTGCTCTCTGCAGGCTGGGTCGTAAACTCTGATGGATGGGGGGAGGTGTGGGGGTGTGTTGTGTGGGAATCTCTCCTGCCATCCAAACTAGTTTTGAAGCTAACAAAAAATTGTGCACAGAAGACAAAAGACATCCATCCAAGCCTCCTCCTTCTGCCCAGCTCTGAGATGTCTTATCCTTCCCTGTGACGATCTCTTTTATCATTTAATGCAGATACCTATTCTCCTTGCCAGAATTTTTGTAGTTTCTGGACAGGTTCTACTGAATAGTTGTGTCATCAATTTATTTAGACTTTCTGACCCACAACTAAATGCACTTTGCTTTCTACAGTTTAAAGAAGATGGTGAAGTTCTCTCTTCCTAAAAACCTTCAAGGAACACTTCATTCTTCAACATGGCTTAGATATTTCATTTTTCTATGTGTCATCTTACTTCTTACAAGGTGCCTGGCTGTTACTATAGTTAGTGATAGTTTAAACCTTATGCATGCCATTCTAGTCTGCACAGCTCCATTCACTTTGATAAACCTATGCTGATTCACATCCACTGAAATTCTTGCCCATGGCTGAGTTTTGATGTATACATTTTAAGATTAAATGTAAAGATACCTAGGTTGGCTTTGTCCTTGGCTGCTGGCCTACAATGCTTTATAAATACTCTGCCTGGTCAGTAATGAAAAAGATTCAACTGGTGCACTTTTGCACTCAGATACAGTACAAATGACATCCATAAACAGAATTTCAAGAATTAAAAAAAATCCTAACAGAAAAGAAAAACCCCATTCTTGGCATCTGAAACAGATTTCCAACTGCTTCCCCCAGCTCCCCCATGCTTCCCTTGGGCTGTCTGAGAAATAACAGATGCAAATGGGTTACTTTTGAAAGCACAGCATTTCCTCCACAGCTGATGCGGTGCGAAAATCCATCTGAAGCCCAGCAGACATACCCATGAGCACGTCGCCTCTGAGCTTTGCCAAGAATGATACATTTCACCATACTCTACTATAAAGAGAAATCCAGACAACCTCCTACTGGCTGCATCAGAGAGCGCAGAAGCCCTCAGTTCTCCAGGCTGCAGAATACCAATTAAACACATCTCAAGCCATCGATTCCTATTAGGAGCTTAATGCAGTGCAAAGTTAGCTTGCATCTTCTCCCAGAAGCATGCTTTTCTCCCCCCACCGCCCCGTCAGGTGGAGCAATTTCTCTCCTTTTCTTTATTTCTGTGGCTGGCAAGGCAGAGCTGAAGTAAAATCAGTCTGATGAGTTTTTGATGAAATTCAAGGCTGAAGCACCACATTTCTTGATTTATTTAGCATTCAGACATCCCCTGCTTCTTCATTTCTACACCTCAGCCTCTGGCAGTTTCAGAACGTGGCTGCTTTCTCTGGGACAGCTGTAAGCTAAGAAAAGACCTTGTGCTAGGTTCAGATATGCCTCTGGTAAAAGGATAGTCTGTCTCCAGATGACACTTTTGGGCTGCATATCTGTATTCCTTCAGTGATTTGCATGTCCTGTTTAGGTACTTAACTTGCCCAGATATATGCTGGTGTTTGGTCTGCTTGTTTTTCCTGTGGTTATTGCTATCAGCACTTCCAGTTCAGGTTGTAAAACTTGAGCAGCTTTCCATTTGTTTCATGTATCATCACTAAAAGCAGATAGCAGATAACAGCTCATTTCAGCCAGAGCAGTATCTGCCACCAGACATTAAAGAAGGGAGCAGACACCAGGAAATGAAATTAGCTTTCATGTGTTCCTCTCATAGACCCTATAAAATTCAACTGCCAAAACTGGGAAAGAATTAATCCTAAACCCTCTTGTCTAGACTAAGCAACTATGGTTTAAAGGAGACATAAAGGAAAAACTCATCGAGTCTCTCTTTGCCCAACCCACAGCTCAGTGGCCACATACCACTGGGAATTAAAAAATGCTTTAGCTTCAGTGACATTATGTCCACCCACCAGATTTCCCCTGTGACCCCCCAACGAGTGAAATGCCAACTGCTGGGCCGTACTTCACTACCCAGCAAAGACTCCATGTGACTCTGTAGAACTGCTAAGGAAATGTAGCTGTCTAGGCATGGTGTTTACAAAGAAATAAAATTTCCTGTGCCCCCCTGCTCGTGTATGGTTGTTACATTCCAGAGAGAGTAACAGGCAGGAGGAGGACAAGCTAACGTGGTGCTGGTTTCGAGCTCCACGTCCAGCAGCTGGGCTTGTTATGAGGAATGCTAATCCAGATGCACAGTCTGAACTTGTGTTCCAAGCCTCCCGGAGCCCCTGCGCACCCTGACCATCTGCTACGCAGTATGGCAAACGGGAGTTGAACTCCCATACAAAATAATCACACAGACACTTGTCAAAATAAAGGCAGAAGAACCTTTGCTGAGGCATTATCTTCTTGATCTATCTGAGTAACTGGCTACTGTCCAAAGCCTGGAAAGCCCTGAATGTGTTAACGTACCATGAAAACTGGACCAACACCTAAGAGATAACCAACCATTTAATACATGAGCCTGTTTTTTTCCTCTGGAAGACCTGCAGTGGGCATAGGGTTGCAATGTTAAGCTTTGATCCAATTTATTATTTTTTTCTAAGACAGCATTAGGCAAATCTCACTGTTCTGTATGTTCCACTCTGTATTCCAAACCTCACATATATTAAGTATCTGATCTGGAAACACTGTGCAACCCAGCTTTCTGGAATGTCTTGTTTTCAAGACAGCTGAATGGGTGAGCATATTATTCACCCTGATGTCCTGTCCCTGCAGGTAGTCGAGAAGCAAACCTTTCACAAAGCACTCTCATTGCTACAGCTGTAACACAGCAATCTCAGGGAAGTAAAAAGGAGCCGGGGGCACTGGGTGTTTTCACCATGGGATTGTGTCCAGAATCAATATAAAACACACAGGTACTTTTCACAAAAAATAAATCAATGCAATTTTTTACATCCACAAGACTGAGTTGTCCATATTTTTAGCATAAATGTTGGTAAGCTATATTCTTTTTCCTCATTCAGCCTCCTTATTTCTAAATAAAACAGGACTTCTTTTGAGGTTATAAATGGTTTTATAACTCTTTAAACATTAATAAAATGGACTGCTTCATCCTGTAAGCTAAAACAACAGTTCTTCCAAATAGAAAGACAAACAAATTGCTTGGAAATAATTTTGGATTTTAATGGTATCTGTGTTACCACTTCTGCATTGTCCAAAAATGAGAGAAGACTATTCCAGCTCTGGCCATAGCTCTGTTTTGGTAGGGCATCAAGCAGAGGCTCTTCAGAGGAAGGTGTAATTTATGGTACTTCCTATCTGATCTTTCCTCAGTCTCCAAAAGCTCCTGCTTAGCTTAAAAGCCTACATGTTTATGGTCCTTTCCAAAGTTTGGTAAATTCTGTCTGTAGTAACAGGGGATTTTGCTACTCTACACACATATTCAATCTTTAGCCGAAAGCAATCCTCATGATAATGCGCTTCATTGAGTAACTTTGCAAGGTATGAAACTATCTCTTTTCAGCTTTTAATTGCATCAACATGTCCCTAAATTCTTATTCTTTCAGAAAGTAATACCAGAAAATCCCGATCTGCCTTCTTACACATTCACTTTTTCTTATTTTATATACATTCTCCGGTTTATACAATTCAAGCCCTGTCCCTGCTTATTCAAACCCTGCAGCAAGAAAAACAGTTAAGTCTAATATCTGTCCCCCCCATCATCTTTAACTTGGGGTGGATTTACCAGGTTGGAGGCTGCAACCCTCATTAACATCACCCAACACAGTGCACGTCATGTAAAATGATACAGGAAAAGGTCACAGTGCTTTGCAATCCTGCTAACATCTATCCAGGTTGAATTTGAACTTGTTTGAATGAAAACAAATCTTCATTTACTGGTATGGATAATGCCTCAGTAAGCAGCAACTGCTGAGACTCAGGCTGAAACATACCTATGGCATGGAGTACAAACTTGTTTCAAATTTTTCAACCAATCTCAGTGAGGCACTGCTCATTTTCAGGTGACAAAATACTTTTCTGAAGATTGTCCTGGCCCCTGCTCTTTAACATCATTTAAAACAACCAATGTATATATGGACAGTAAAAGCAGTATTTGCAAGACAACTCAAAATGGCTCCCATCCCATACCTATCCCAAAGGTGCACACATAAGACTAAATCACATATGGATGAACATAAAGAGTGGAATCCTTACCTGCCCCCCTTTGGGCTGGTATTTGATGTTATCTGTTGATCCAATTTTGGACCTGACGTTCTTGAGGTCAGGTAGAGGCTGATTAATAACTCGTAGCTGCTTTGGAGTGGCTGGAGATTTAGGTGGAGTGCGAATTATGGCAACTTTTTTCTCAGTAGGTACCAGTATGGCAGATTTAGGGGTCCCAGGAGTGTGGGGGGTTCTGGAGTAGCTGGGTGTCCCTGGAGTGCCTGGGGTACGGGAGGCATAGCTTGGTGGTGTCCCTGGAGTGATGGCAGTGGAGCCAGGGGTAGTGGGGGTAGAAGTTCCACTTTTTCCTGTTCTACGAATTGGCTCTGATCCTATGTGCAAGGAAAAAAAAAAAACAAAAACCCAACAGCATTAGACCTACAGAAATACAGCTCTTCTTCCCTCTGTACTTCCCAAGACTGCATCCCCGTGTGCAAAGGGAGATACAGCTCTAAGATGCCTGTGCTAGAACTGGAACAGCTGGATGTCTGTCTCTGGGTCTTTATTTCCCTAATCAATCTGCCAGGAGTTACCTTGTCACGTGTGGTAAATTGCCCACGTGGTGGCTGAGCTCTCCGCTCTGGAACAGAGGCGTGCTTCCCACACCACCTATGCTTCCTGCAAGGCTCGCTAAACAAGGTTCAATATCACACCAATTTCCATACTGGGGAAATGACTAAAAGCACCCTTGGAATCTAACCTTTGGGGCTTGACCTGACAACCTGACTAGCCAGTAAGAATGCTGTCACCAATTTCAGTGGATTTGGGTGTCAAACTAGAGAGTGGGGAAAATTTTGATTGTAATCCTGAAACTAAGGACTCTGAGTGCCTGGCTGCTGCTGGTCATGCACCACTGCTGGTAATCTGGTGTCTGCAGCTGAACCCTGGATGAGCATTCAGCTGATGAACAAGTCATAGCTCTGTTGCGTGGATAGGCAGATGTCCCTCATGTTCAATTGCTATTTTTCATTAGTGCAGTGAAAAAAAGCAATTACAGAAGGCAACCTTGATTAGAAGTCACATTCTAGTTACATCTGCACTCAAGCTAAAAATAATTACTGTAACATTTTGTAGTGGCTCCATTCAGTGTTTATGGCATCGCCAATCCTTTTCACTGAGCACAAGAATCACTTTAGTAGTGGCATTGTGCTTTCTGCAGCCAGCTCTGCTGGTAACTCTCAAACACAAATGAGCGGAAGCTGACATAGCTCCATATGCTGCTTAAAGCAAAGCTTTGCTGAGAATACTCAGGGAGAAAAAAACCAAACCAGCCCCCCCAAAGCCTAAGAACCCTGATGCCAAATGGGTGCATATATGTTTTCACTTTTAAAACGTTCAGGAATTATAGAAATCCAATGGGCCTCTCTAGAGCATCCAGTGGGACTAATCAAAATCTTATTTGAACTATCTGCTAATAATCCTGTTTATTTGATGGTGGTGGACCAAGCGCAACACACTGCTGCCCCTGGGGTCCAGGAGAAACTCTTTGCTCTACATGACTCATTAGATAGATTGAACATACTCCACTCTCACCTCCAGTTTCCCTGAATGGTTTCTTTCTTTCCAAACCATCCCCTAAACCAGAACCTTCTCACTATACTGAGACAGAAAGGGAATGATTTTTTTTTTCCAGCTCCCTGCAGCTTTGGTATATTTATTTTTCATTCCTCAGCCTTTCACCACATTGGCAGATGCTCAATGGCCTCTCACTCCTAGTCAGCAGAATGGGCTGCTGTGCCAGCTGGGGGGGACTCTGCTTACAAAGGGTCTCTGTTTTACCCTTGGAGCATCACCCAAGAATTCCAAAGGACTTTTTTTGTAGAATTTAATCACCTACTTCCCTTAAGCTGTCTTAAAAGGGGCTGAGATTGGTTTCTAAAGAGAGAAACCAGAGAAATTTCTGTTGGAAAGCAGGGAGCCACACCCAGGTTCTGAGGCCTGGACTGAATGCAAATCTATTTAAAGGTTCTGGGGGTATTTGCTAGAATTCTCTTTGTCCTGTAATTTCTTATGGCTTGTGATTTGATAATATTGGTCCTCATAAAAGGACCTTGCTGGTTTACTACCCTAAGTTCCCCCATGAGTCACTCTACTACCTAACATCTCAATTCTCAGCAGGGTTTCTACCCTAAGATTAGAGCACAGGGAGATCATTACTGTGAAACAGCAGGTTAATGACTGTAACATTAGGTCCGCTTTTCCAAGATCCATCAGAATATTTTATATTGCCTACTTCAGGTTTGTATCATTTTTCTTGATGCTGTTTGTAAATGCCCCATGTTAAATATGTTACTCAGCTCTGAGCTCCCTGCAAAGGCATTTTCCAGTATTAGTGATGAGTCCGAACAGCGGTCCTAGCTCTGGGCATTGCAGACTATGGAAAGGGTGCATCCTGTCCTTGGTTTCAAGCCCTTGCTGCTCAGCACTTGGTATCGGAACAAAAACAGTCTGTGGGGCTTTGACTTCCAACAGCATACCCCAGACCCAACCCTCTGTGTAAAAGGCACGGATGCATGATGCTATGGTAATGGGACAAATCTAACAAGGATGGGAGACATTCATGTCAGTAGGAGGCAAAAAACATACGGGTGGTCCGTCGTACTGAAGAGGAGAGGGAAGCTGTGAGGGAGAGGGAGTTCTCCTCTCTGTCTCGGTCTCCTGATACACCTCTTCGAGGAGGAAGGATAGAGGAAGGTCTTGGTAGAGCGGAACGCTTTTCGGGACTCTTGCTTACTCCATCCTAATGGTAGCAAAATAAAAAAGAAGGTTTAGTTTTCAAAACTCACTCTCTGGGCTGTGATTTCTCTCAACCTTGTATACAGAGGGGGAAACTGCATCCTATGGGCCCAGTTTACTACTCACACAGGAAGCTGTGGGGATCCAGCCACCTCCCATGCTCTGCTTAGCTCCCTGGTGCTTATTTACTGCATCAAAACACCCAATAGTCATCTTCTGAGCTACTTAAGACAGATACAGACACTCTTGGTTCTAAATATGGCTGGGTTCCACATTTGGTTCTTAGTAAGGAAAAAGCTTTTTTAGTGCAAGTTGAAAGTAAAAAAATTCTCTGGAGCTCAGGTGTGAAATTCTAATGTAAATTTACCTGCAAAGTAACTGCAGTACTGGTGCCCAGAATATACCCCACAGTGTATTGTTAGGTGATGTGTGATTTTTGCATTTTCAAACACTAACTTGTAATTTTTTATGGAGAAAAAGATTTTAGCTACAGTTATTTTTTGAGTGCAGGACTATTAATCTTTGTGTGTTCTCTTATTTCCTTACATACTCATCTTTTTACTTTTTGAAATCAGCAGATACATTCTTTTTACCAGGGTTAGAGCAATGGACACGTATGTTAGAATATTTTTGAACTTATGGGATGGGCAGCCAAAGACAGTCTTGCATAAGCAGATAGTCCTCCCAAAGGCAAATATGATGATGGTCCCAACCAGTAACAGACACAACGAGCATAGTGTTACACAGAAAATGGAAGTTAATAGTGAAACCAGTTTTTAAATGGGGATAGTCACCAACTCAGCATCAAGTAGATTTGAAACACAAGTGAAATGTAAACATGGGGAAGCTAGGATGGACTGCCAAACATCTTTTTAAATTTATACTGCAACTTCTTCAACATGGTCCCATGCATAGACCAAATTAGGTTCCTAGAGCATTTGGCTTCTGCCCTTACTGCTGGTGATTAGAACTGTACCCTCCTGCACACTGGGGATTGAATTTGTTCTCAGAGAATATTAACTGGTTGAAAATTACATCTTTTAAACTCGGAAGTCAGATTAGTACTGCTGTTCTTTGCCACTTACCCATGTGCAAATGGGTGCAACTTCTTAGCGGTCAATGAAGCAGTATCCATGTCATCAACAGAAAGAAGGTATGTCCTTCTAGTTATAACTTACTTCACTTATGTTTCCTCTGAAGAATCTCCTTCGGTTTTATCCCTTTTGTAGCACAAATCTTGTAGCCTGATAATCAGTTTTCCTGCCACTGGATGTAAGTAATTCCACATAAGCATCACAGAGAATTACTCAAATTCAGTGGGGAGAGAATGAGATCCATGGAATTCACCTACACATCTCCAAGCTAACTCTCTACCAACTCTTCTACCTTACCTTAGCATCTGATTTTGAGTAGGGCAAGCAGTCTCTTGGGCCTGCTGAGGAGGGCCGTACATAATAACTGTCTGTATCAAGAAAAGTGGCCTTTTTAGTAGTTAATGAGCAAGCTGAGCTGGGTCTTGGAGGAAGCAAGGACTTTGCTCTAGACTTTGAGGCAGGAATCTTTGACAAAGAGGCAGTCTAGTCATGAGAAAACAAACAAAACAAAACACAACATGAAACTGGACAAAAGGAAAACACATGCAACATGGACCAAAAAAAAAAAAAAAAGCCAAGCTATGAATTATAACTTTTCCTGTGTCTGGTAATGGCATCTGTGCAGTTCTGACATGCATGAAAGTTTTAGTTCTGTGTCGTTTGACTGAAACCATCTGGGTCTGGACAAAGATACTGATGCTAGGAAGTGCCTTTGCCTTCTTCTGCAGATGCTACTCTTGTCTTGTGTTAATAGGACAAAACTGGTGCCAGGTATGGCATTTAACTGGTACAACTGCTATTTGGCTGCATTAGAAGCAAGCGCAAAACTACAGAAGCACCAAGAGATCCCAGTCCTTTAGAACTAAGTTGCGCATTTGAAATCTATCCCCCTCCAGGCTACAGTCAAGAATAAAACAATGGGAATCGTAAAAGCAAAGTTACAGCAGTATTCCCACAATGGCAGAATGACACGACAGTATTGCTTCTTGTGCCACTGTGTACACACAAAATCCCTAAGCACCACAAACACTGTATTCTGTGCATTTGGTGTCACTCTATAGAGTGACAATGTGGGGTCCTGGGATGAGGAAACCTGCATATGGTTGCAAGGCTGACATGATATGTCACTGCGATCAGACACTTGCCTGATTCTGAGTAATGATAATACCCCATTGAAAGAACAATTAAACATCAATAGGACAGATCGAAAATTCTTTGTTAACACTTACGAGCGTCTAGCTGCTTTGCAAAAAGGACTTTCCTTGAAAGAGAAGCAACACTTTTTTTTCCCCCCTCCACAGGTATAACTGATACTACAAAGAACAACTGCAAGGCTGTTATCTTGGCAATGCAGTTCTGATTCTCTCTGTATTCATACTAGCATGAAATTACACATAGGACCAATCCCAATGGGCCTGTAATTACGGGATTTGGTACAGAACTTTAGTAATGAAAAATCTGGCATTTCATCTAAGTCAGTCGCCTAGACGCTCTTGTGTTCAGAAAAGGTGTCTTTGTTAGAGAATGAGAAAAGAATGGGTTGCCAACTCTCTACCGACAGGCATCTGGCTCAGGCTACATACCCAGCCTACAGAAAACTGAGGCTGGTCTGCTGAATGTCATCACCAACATGATTAACAGTTGCAGAACTGTGTAACAAACAATTCCAGTCCTACAACACAGCTGAGAAGACTTCTCTTGGATATCATCATCCATATCAAGTAGCTCTACTGAGCAAAGCAAGGCATTAGTTCAAAGGATGGAAGTGCTTTACTAGTGAGAATATATTCCTAAAATGAGTTTTGCAACGTATTTACACGTCTCTCTCTTAATACTTATTTCACTGTCTGAGAATACATAGAATAAAATCAGTGAATAACTATTTTAAACAGAAACCGAACAATATGTGTTTCTGTCACATCAAAGGCTTCTCCAGACTTTGGTTTGTCATAGCTCAATTTATGGGTCCCATCCACTTGTGAAACTTTGGGCTATATTTAAATCCATTAAGGTGTTTATTGATGCTGAAACTCTGTGGAAGCAGGGTGTCTATGCTGGGCGGCTCCGAGAAGCAGACATTCTGCGAACACCTTTAACCTGGGTTTCTGAACTTGAGATATAACAGAACATGCACAGTTTGAGGCCCAAATGTTCAGTCAGTGGTTTTTGCCTTTTTCAACTTGTGAGTTGTGCAAAATGTTTCCCCTAACAAGACTGGAAAACTCTTACAGATTAAGAGTCTAGGCACAATGTAGAGACCTCATCCTTCACTCACATCGCATACTGTGTCCTCCGTGAATACGTGCATCAAACAGGGATGCTAAAGATGGACAAGACTGAGACCTTTCAATGGAACAGCTGGGGAAAAGGCATGACCTGGAGCTAATGCACTGCTCTGAGATTACCACAGTTTAGATCCCCTCAGTGTTATTTAGGAAGCAAGGCACTTTTTAGCATCAGTAACAGCAGCAGAATCTGGCCCAACCAGATTTCAGTGACACGCTCAAGGCTGGTAGAGCAAGCAAAGAAACAAAATGCCTCACTCCCTGCCTGTGCTTTACCCAGAAAACTATTCTTATTCTCTGTTAGCAATAAATTACCTTTGACCTCTGTTATAATTCACATTGCTGGAAGTACCAGCTGTCCACAGGACAAAGATCTATGTAACCCTAACACTCACGGCTTGCTGAAGATGGGATGCAGAAACCTCACTTTATTTCAGAGGTGTTCCTAACACATGACCGATGTTCTCAGCATGTCGCTACCGCAGGTACACAGCTCCTTCCAGCAGATGGAACTGCTTAGCCTTTCCTGAACATGTTCTGCAAAGCAGTAGGTGAACTGCAGTTTGAAGATGGGTAACAAAACTGACCAGGTTGGATGATCTAACATTACCAGCAGAGAGGAGAAGACTGCACTTGAAGGACATAAAAGCTGACAATGAGGAGGAAACACAACAAAAAGCAAGAGGTCTTTATATAAGCAGAGATAGGCACAGAATAGAAAAATGTCCAAGAGATGCGTGAGTGGGGCAATCAGAGAAGTGAGGCAACAGGGAGAGAAAGTAAGCAGGGGACAGACTTCTGATCTGTCCTAAGGGACATAACCTCAGGGACAGGAGTAAGAAAGGTGTACAGAAAGCAGATAATTTCAGAGAATGATTTTGTAGTGCTAGTACTTAGAGCACTCCATGAACATAGATGACTCTGAAAATGGGCTAGTATTGACTTCTTTTGCATGTTGATCACCCCCCAAGAAAAGACAGCAATAAACTATATTGTTGACTCAGACCAGAAACCTGTCCAGGTATTTCTTACTGTACTAGTAGTAAAGAAGCTCTAGCAGTTTTCTCAGTTATGAGCTGAAATGGGTCAGACCTGAAAAAACACATGAAATCCAAGAATCCATGGCTGAATTCAGGTCTAAATTTCACAGCTCCTCCAAAGCCTCCAATCAGTAATGCTGTATCATCATTAACAATTTCTTATGATTCATAAATAACATGGAGCACTTTATGAGACAGTTTTTTGTTCCCTAAAGAATTGATCATCTGGTTAGACAGATGAAACAAATCGGCCATGGAATATATTAGGAAATGAGAGGAATCCTAAGGAACTTCTTCATTGTTAATGATGGCTAACAACGACAAAGTATTGTCATGCTGCAGATGTGAATTAGCACGTGTCAGTGTCACATAAAAAACAGTTGCATAGGGGACGGTGAAGGGAGGTTGGTTTCCTGGGGATTTTGGATTGCTGGGACAGGAAAAGCAACAGGAAAAGTGTGGGGTCAGCTGGGGAGCAGGGTGGAGAGGCACTGCAGGATTTGCTGAAGGAAGCTCAGCAGAGGATGCCAGCCACAGGGAGCAGAACAGGCTGTAGAGCAGCTGAAGGCAGGGCATGTAACTGTCATGTTTAAACACAGACAGAAGTCGGCAGTCCAGGAAATGGCCATTCAGAAAGCACTTAACCACATATAAAATGCTACTGGCCAGTAATTTCTACACAGGCATGACCTCTGCAGAACGCATGGCAATGTAATGGTGCATCAGAAGACATCCTGTGAGTCCTGGGGGAGGGTTTCTGCCTGCATAGCAATCGAGCAAGGTCGCTTTACGAGCCAGGCGCTGCAGGAAGGGCCAGGGTACACAGCTCATCCCAGAGGATGGCCTGGCTCAAACCGCTGAACAACATCCAACTCCTGCAGCTTGGAGTCTGTGTGCCCCCTATAGATCTGCAAACTGTCATCATCTACTACCTGGGACTGTAACTCACAAGCTATTCAGGAAAGGTGGTTTTAATTACTCTTTTAAATGAATAATGAATATGGCAAACAAACTCTAAATGGAACACAAATTTTAAATGGAACACACACTTACTGAATTAACACAGAAGGATCTGAAATAAGATTATAAAGATGAATGATAAGATGATTTTACTCACTGAGAGTTTTTCCTTTGCTTGTTTAAATACACCAGGAGCCTGGTTTGTTTCACCACCTGCTGCTGAGAGACCCAAAGAAAGACTTGATAGTTAAAACCAAAAATAATAAGCATTTCCACTTAGTACACTTATCAGAACAATTACATGCCTTGGAGCTACTGTGCAAAGCAATTACTTTGTGAATTTCTCTCAGTGAACTGTATGCAGAAATGTGCCTGCCTTAAAAATGTCCTATATTCATCATGCTTGAGGTAAAATGGTCTTCTACACATTTCAAAAAAATTGAAATTTTGTATTCATGTTCCTAGAAGTTTAGAAACTACAGTAAAAAGTTCAAGAAATAGCTGACAACTGCAAGAGGCTCTAGTTCTACTAGTCTATCCTCAGTCACCTTAGCATCCCAATTTTCAGGACTGTCCTCTAAAAATCAGGTTCCTTTAAGTAATCCACAAATGAAAATTTTAAGAGGGGCCCCTGAAATCACCACTTGTCTTTATTAGTATTAGCCAACATTCCTAATGGAAAGAGAGATTCACTGTTGAATTATCGTCCTAGTTGTATCAACAAGGTCAGTGTGCCACGGGTCAGCTAAGCCCTCAGACTTCAGCAATTCAAATTATATCTGGGATATCAAGCATGTTAATTCAGTATTTCATTTATTTGATACAATGTGGTTTGAGGCAAGATTTTTCTCTCTGACAGATTCCATCCTTATGAAAAGTTTTAGAATGGCGCAGCTTTTTAGAAAGCAGTTTAATATTAGTTTCACCCCAACACTGTTGTTCAGGAAATGTTTTGCCACACAGAAACTAGATGTGAAATCTTTTGGCATCTGTGCCAGGATGCCCTTAGTAAATGCAGAAGCAGGACAGTGGTCACAGATTACAACCTTTTGCTGTAAACCCAACTGTAAAACCAATGCTAACACATTGTACAGGACAGAACCGATTAATTTTCTCCTTTCCTTGTGCAGTTCCCAGCCGTAGTGAGGATACCCCTGGTTTTCTGCCACACTTTCCACTCTAGTTCTGCCCTCTTAATATAATTTCATTGCTGGGTTTTTTAAATTGAAGGAGTAGGAGACAAAACATGTGAGGAGGAAAAGAATATATAACTGCATACTTCAGTTCTTCTGAATTTGTAACAGGGATAAGTACAGCACAGGCCTCCTGCATCACATTTTACCACAGCTGTTACTGCTGGGTTTGGTCTGTTTTGATTCTCTTTTAAATAATCACAAATAGCTTCTTTCCTCCTTCCCTTGATATTGAAGCCTAGCCACCACTATGAAGTAGAAAGAATAGCTGTGCTGCTTGTGCCGACTTACCTGAAAGCACCACAACTTCTCCAGCTGAACTGGCTCTGCTGCCAGTTTCAATACACAACAAGCATGTTTTACCTCAGAGGGTGACCCCAGAATTGAAGACGGGGAACAGAAGCGTATCATATAGTGACTTCCGCTCACAGCCAGGCAACTGTCCTGGCCTCGCCACCATAAACACTCCTCTGATGGCACAGTGGCAGGGGGGTCAGACTGAGGTTTCGCTCACAAACTGCATCAGTCAAGGCAACTTGTCAACAGTCAACACAACTCTTTCCTCAGAATTAGCCATACAGTTTCTTTTTCAAATGGCAAGGATGAGTCTCTTAAGAAGCACTCCCACCCTTGTGGTTATGGCACTGTAAGTTACCAGTATTTACCAGGGTGCACTTCACAGTGACATGGGAATTTTTTTCTGGTATTGAGGGGAAAACAGGGGAAAGATGTCATTTCCCAGGCCACTATGCAGAAAATATGAGCAAATACTAACTTTTTTGTAGACGCTTATGACTAGACATGTTTCATTTTAAAGTCACAGTAAAACAACACAGAAGTCTTAACTGACTGCAATACACTCAAAGTGGTATAAACTGCACTGCCAAGGGACTTTTGGTGGGGCTCCATTGGCCAGGTACACTAGAGCTGGTAAGTCCATTCCAAATAGGACTCACTGACAGTCGAAACTGGCTTCAAGAAATGGTGCTATACTTTATGTAAAAGGAAAAAGGTGAGAGAGACAATAAATTACAGATCCTGGAAAGAGCTGGATGACTGGTTCAGGCTCAGGGATATGTAGGTTAACATATGGCAGCCCACACTCCTAGAGTGCAGTGCTGTGTGATACCCTTTCACATGGCCTTCCCTCAAGTCCCATGAGTAAGCAGAAAAAGGTGAGGTAGAAGAAAATAAGGGACACTCTGAATTTTCCAGCAACACTGAATGTGCTGAAACATTATATGAGATATTTTTGTTCACTTTGTGGTGTGGTTCAAGTTACGCTGCTTTAGAGCCCAAACCTCAAATTTCAACCCACATTACTGCAAATTTTATGATCAATCTGGGTCCATTATTTTGGTTGCTCTCCATCTCAGGATTTAAATGTACTGTGAGGTCATTTCTGTGTTACATTTTTGACTTTGACTAACATATCTGCTTTGCTAGGTGTTAGAGTGAGAGAGAAAAAGTGCAGACAGTTGCAAGGCGGCAGACATTTAAGGCACCGGGCAGATTTCTTTATGCAAGTCTACCTGTGTGACTCGGGCCTCTCTGGGACGCTACTGGGCCAGAAGAGTTCAGAGGGGTTAGTGGTAGAGTATCAGAGTGCAAGACAGCACCGACCACATGGCTGTACAAGTGCAGACGAAGTTGAGAACACTACAAAGTCAACACTTCTTTTCCCCCATTATGGGTCATAACTTCTGAGCTGATCAAGCTGTGCTTCAGCAGACAGCAAGAGGTAGCAAGAAGAGTTGTTTTAATCCTTTTTAAAAATTCCTCACTTTTGGGGCAGTTCTGGTCCAGAGTGCAAGTTCGGACAGCCTAGAGACTGCAAACTGAGGAGGAGCCATTGCTACAACACAGAGGGTCCTGGATCACATAACTATCTTTCTACTGTATTTTCACCAGTCAGACCTCCATACTGAGACCGGTCTAAATTTAGAACAGGAGTGACTCATTGGTGCAAAACTGGATGGGAATGACTTCTTAGGAACACTTTTGGTATTGCACTGCTTAACTATAGGATGGGTAATCAATCTTGTTCTTAATTTCTAAACCATAAGAAGAGGTCTATATAGTTCTGCATTGCTGCGCATGGTTCTTCTCTTAATAGCCCTAGTTTCACTCACGAACAACCGCACTGCAGTATGCGGCTGTTACATGACAGAAAACGTGGCCTCTTTTAGCAGATTTTTTTTTTTTTTTTTTAAAAAGATCACCAGAAAAGTCAAGATGTTCATCTTTCTACCCTAAACTCACAGTAACAATAAGTAATATCATGAAAATGCTGAAAGTGTTTGGTTTGGTCCTCTAAATAATGATACACCTATCAAGATATAACAGGAATCATTTGTTTCATCCTTTCATCTTCCTCTACCAAATATTAAGACTTTTGCTTGGAATGCACTCGTAGTGTGAGCCCAGATTTCTTCTCTCTCAGCTTCATGCTGCGTGTGGCTGGATTCCCCCTGCGGATTTTGACTGTACAGCATAAACATCAGTGACAGATTGGGAAGTGTCAATGCAGATAACATCAATCAACAAAATATAAGTCTGAAACACTTCTTATTATGCATGAGAGTAAAAAAGCAAAATAATGGAAATGCATACCATGGTTTAAGCCGTCAACATTTTCCCACCAGAAAAAAAACCAAAAAAGCATAATTAAAAAAAAAAAAAAGAACAAAATGATGAGTAGATATTCCTACAACACCACACTATAAGCACGATGCCAAGCTACAACCACAGCACTTGGAGGTCCAAGCAATGACAAGCATACATGATCATGGCCTCCATTAAATAAACAAACAAATACCAGGAATGAAAAAAGAAAATAAAAATGATACAAAACACTAAAAAGGCAATACTATTTGTGAAGACTGATATTCTTGGAGGAAAAAATAAAAAAAATAGAGAAGCTGCTATAGCCATGAGATTTTAAAAAAAAAAAAAAGAGAGCCTATGTTTGCCAGCCACATTGCATAACTGAACAGAACGCAGTCACCTGTCTGCTTCCGTTTAACACAGGAGAGATGAGTTGGTCTAGTATATTTGATAGCAGGTTTTAAAATGATTTTCCTGGAGGGAGAGTGGGCCTGAACTTCAGTTTTTTTAGCAAGTTCAGCTTTCTTATACACTGCTATGGACAAGAAAACACAAAAACATAGAATCAGGAAAAAAACAGCAAACAGTTTCATATGACAATACACCAAGTGGCAGGCCCACTGCTCCACAACTCCAACCCGAGGTGCTGCTTCTACTGGGGTGAACAAATCCTATGTCAGAAGAGAGGGAGCACTGGTGCATTAACCTCAGATGTGTTACCCAGTGATCAGTGGGGATGCCTACAATGAAACAGGACTGGTGGAGCAGTGAGCCTTGCACATGGCTTTTCATACAGTTGTACACCATTGCATTAAAAAGCACTACTGTTAATACTGTTAAGGTACACATCATCTACAACAGAGTAACCGGATAGTACTGTTCAACAGTTAAAAAAAAAAAAAAAAAAAAAGTATATATTGTAATAGGGAGTGTTAAATGAACCTTTTTTCCTTCTCACTTCATCTCTGGAGAGTGTGCTAGGTTCCTTTTTAGCTATTTTCCTTTCAGGAGTAGAAATCCTGCCTCTCCCAGTTTTAAAAGGTTTCTCTTTTTTATGCTTATCGAGAGATGATCTTCGCAATTCTCTCTCTGCCTTCTCCTCTTTAGGAACAGTCTCTAACTGTTCAGTCATGATGCTCCTATCATCATCTGTAGGATCAGAGCAAATTATAACAAACAAAAGATTAGTACCAAATGTTAACAATACTGCGGTGGAGCAGGGAAAAATAGTTGAAGACAGAGCAGATGGATTAATAAAAAAAACGCAGAGTATTTTACCATTTTTCTGAAACATGCTGAGATTACTATTACAACTACAATAACTTTGCTTTTTGATCATTATGATTCAGAAGCAAAAATATGTAACAGACAAAACAGAAAGGATAATGCACACCTTGAGTATCTGCCCAGTCTGTGTCCATGATGGAGTCATCAATTGTTGTTTCATCTTTGTAATCATCACACGTCTCTGTCTTGTAGTCGGTGAGTAGGATTTCTTCTCTCTGGGGTGAAGCAGGAGCTTCTGGGGAGCCCTCCTTGGGCTCAACTTGCATGTCAGCCACTTCCTCAACCTCCAGCTCCTCTTCAGCTTGGGAGGCTCCTGTTTCGATGTCTTCCTGCT